GCGGCTGCTGCTGTTGTTGGTTGTTGTTGTGTTGTGTTGTTGTTGTGTTTTGTTGTTGTTGTGTGTTTGTGTGTTGTTGGTGGTTGTGGTTGTGTTGTTGTTGTTTGTTGGTGTTGTTTGTGTTGTTGTTGGTGTTGTGTTGTTGTTTGTGTTGTTGTTGTTTGTTGTTGTTGGTGTTGTTGTTGTTTGTGTGTTGTTGGTGTTGTTGTTGGTGTTGTTGTTGGTGTTGGGGTTGTTGGTGTGTGTTGTTGGTGTTGTTGGTGTTGGTGTTGGTGTGTTGTTGGTGTGTTGGTGTTGTTGTTGGTGGGTTGTTGTTGGTGTGTTGTTGTTGGTGTTGTTGGTGTGTTGTTGTTGTTGGTGTGTGTTGGTTGTGGTGTGGGTTGTTGTTGGTGTTGTGTGTGTGGTGTTGTTTTGTTGGTGTTGTTGTTGGTTGTGTTGTGGTGTGTTGGTGTTGTTGGTGTGTTGTTGGTGGTGTTGGTTGGTGTTGTTGGGGTGTTGTTGTGTGGTGTTGTTGTTGGTGTTGTTGTGGTGTGGTGTGTTGTTGGTGTTGTTGTGGTTGTTGTGGTGTGTGTGTTGTTGGTGTTGGTGTTGTGTTGGTGTGTTGTTGGTGTTGTTGTTGGTGTTGTTGTTGGTGGTGTGTTGTTGGTGTTGTTGTTGTTGGTTGTTGTGTTGTTGTGGTGTGTTGTTGGTGTTGTTGGTGTGTTGTTGTTGGTGTTGTGGTTGTTGTGGTGTTGTTGTTGGTGGTGTTGTTGGTGTGGGTTGTTGTGGTGTTGTTGTGTTGGTGTTGTTGTTGTTGTTGTTGGTGTTGTTGTTGGGTTGTTGGTGTTGTTGGTGGTTTGTTGGTGTTGTTGTTGGTGTTGTTGTTGTTGGTGTTGTTGTTGTGGTGTTGTTGGTGTTGTTGGTGTTCGTGTACACAAACACGCACCGCGGGGAGCGGCGGCAGAACGCTTGGCACCCGCGCTATGAACCCGGCAACCCGAGTTCAGTTGGCGATCTGAGCCAGTCTCGGGCCTCCCCTAGGTCGACTCGACCTCAAATGAGTACCCGGTGCATCTGTGTAAACATCGCCACTGGGGAGACAAAGGCGGACGGGCGCGTGGTGCTGGCCACCCACCCCCTCGTGCGCCGTGCCGGCCTTCACAGGTGCTGCAACTCGCTAACAGCACTTGCCCCGACAGTCCGTTGAGGCTACACGGGGCGCCTTTGTCTCGCGTGGTCTCCGGGGGCCACCGGGTTCAGTCCCCGGGGCCGCAGCGACGACGCCGCCGCCGTCTCCGTGACGCCCTGACGCGTGCGTTGCCATGGCGACGCTCCCTTGTTACCAGGGACCACGGGGAGGGGATGATGGGGAGGGGAGGTCGGCAAGGGGCGGGGTGGGGGGCGAGACGCCACCCATCCACGCACTTCTCCTGCCACGCACGCAGCCTCGTGGTAGACCACTGCTGGATGGATGCCCCCGTCCCTCGCGCCGTGGGGGTGATCTCGGCCATACTTCCCCGCGCTGGTCAGTGCGGGTTGCCGCGCGCGGGAGAGGCCGCTGACAGCGCTGCGCTGAGGTCGCGAACCCACGTGACCGCTCACGGCCATTGACGCCGGTGACGATTGTTTGAACCGGTCCCTGGGCCTCCCCTAGGTCGGCTCAGTCTCAAATGAGTACCCGGTGTGGTGTGTAGTAAACATCGCCACGAGGGAGACAAAGGCGGTCGGGCGTGGTGCTGGCCACCAACCGCTCGCGTGCCGTGCCGGCTTTAATAGGTGCTCGCTAACAGCACTTGCCCCAACAGTCTGTTAAGACTATTCGGGGGATCTTAGTCTTTGGTGGCGGTGGTTGTGATGGTGGTGGTGGTGCTTGTGGTAGTGGTGGTTGTGGTGGTAGTGGTGGTTGTGGTGCTGGTGGTGCTGGTGGTGGTTATGGTAGTGGTGGTGCTTGTGGTAGTGGTGCTGGTGGTGCTGGTGGTAGTGGTTGTGGTGGTGGTGCCCATACTCTGCACGTGACTGCCCATCGTAGTCACCCACCGCCCTGTGGAGGCAGCAGGGGGGGGGAGGTGGGGTTGGTGTATCACACACAGATGATGTGGAACTCCCTTCCCGCGGCTCGCTAGGAGCAGGCAGTGCAGCAAGTGGGATCATCGCCACCTGTTCATTCCATCTCTACAGGGTGGTGGGGATAGAGCGTTGCCCCCTCGCGCGAGGCGTGGGTTGTCTCCGGGTGCTCCGATCTCCTCCTGTCCCCCACGTGCATAATAAACACGACTCGTCATTCATCGGCTGTAAACATCTTTAAGTCAATAAACGCACGGTGTGGCAGCAGCAGCAGCAGTAGCAGCAGCTGGAGCAGCTCCCTGGCTGAACAAGAGTCATTGCGACTCGTGTCGCGTTCTCTGGATAACTCCGTGACACCGCCGTTGTTAGATAAGTGCAGAGCATGTTCGGATATGTCTATCAAGCCAGCACAAGTATGCTCGCAGCTGCAATGGGCCATGTTAATAGCGTCGCCAAATGAGTATGTGGTCTCTATGAGAGTCTGTGGGTCTCTGTGAGTCTATTGATCTGTGTGGGTTTGTGGGTCTCGGTTTGAGGCTACGGGTCTCTGTGTGAGTCTATGGGTCTCTGTGTGAGTCTATGGGTCTGTGTGTGAGTCTATGGGTCTCTGTCTGAGTCTATGGGTCTGTGTGTGAGTCTATGGGTCTCTGTGTGAGTCTATGGATCTCTGTGTGAGTCTATGGCTCTGTGTGTGAGTCTATGGGTCTGTGTGTGAGTCTATGGGTCTCTGTGTGAGTCTATGGGTTTCTGTGTGAGTCTATGGGTCTCTGTGTGAGTCTATGAGTCTGTGTGTGAGTCTATGAGTCTGTGTGTGAGTCTATGGGTCTCAGTGTGAGTCTATGGGTCTGTGTGTGAGTCTATGAGTCTGTGTGTGAGTCTATGGGTCTGTGTGTGAGTCTATGGGTCTCAGTGTGAGTCTATGGGTCTGTGTGTGAGTCTATGAGTCTGTGTGTGAGTCTATGGGTCTCTGTGTGAGTCTATGGGTCTCAGTGTGAGTCTATGGGTCTGTGTGTGAGTCTATGAGACCCCTAGGTGATTGCTCACTGTGTTTGGAGCTAAAACCCGGATTGGAACCCGGGCTGTCTCAGCCTCGGCGTCATTTTGAACTCACCTTAGCTCCGAACGTAACATATCCACGGCGGAGTGGTGGCGCAGCGGTTAGCGCATTGCGCTATGCCAACCTGAGTTAGATTCCCGGCCACGTCCAACGTCTTATCAACTACTAAACTAAAGTGCGTGTATTTACTCTACTAGGTGAGGCCCACTGATCTCTTCTTCAGCAGCGATCTGGCCACAAATGATAGCTCAACGAAGTGGGCTCATCATCGCGTGGAAATGTCTGGCAGCCAAAGACTCTGAACATGTGACGTTGATTGTAAATGTGGATCGATAAACCGGAATACCCGGAGACAAATCCACGCGACCACGGGGAGAGAGAGACGCAAACTCCAAATATACAGCAGCAGGCGTCAGGATGGGGATCGAACCCACGACCTCCTGTAGACCAGGCGAGGTAGTTAACATCTCCTAGCCACCGTGATGATGATGAGAGAGAGACACACAAACTCCAAAAATACAGCAGCAGCAGGCGTCAAGGTCGGGATCGAACCCACGACCTCCTGTACACCAGGCGAGGTAGTTAACATCTCCTAGCCACCGTGATGATGATGAGAGAGAGACACGCAAACTCCAAAAATACAGCAGCAGCAGGCGTCAGGGTCGGGATCGAACCCACGACCTCCTGCACACCAGGCGAGGTAGTTAACATCTCCTAGCCACCGTGATGATGATGAGAGAGAGACACACAAACTCCAAAAATACAGCAGCAGCAGGCGTCAGGGTCGGGATCGAACCCACGACCTCCTGTACACCAGGCGAGGTAGTTAACATGTCATAGCCACCGTGATGATGATGAGAGAGAGACACGCAAACTCCAAAAATACAGCAGCAGCAGGCGTCAGGGTCGGGATCGAACCCACGACCTCCTGTACACCAGGCGAGGTAGTTAACATGTCATAGCCACCTTGGCACTACGTCACCACCAACCCCCCCCCCCCCCCCCACGGGTGGTGCTCCCCCTCGCCAACCCTGCACGGACCGGAGCGGTGAAGTACGGTCAAACACCCCCCCCCCCCGGGAGGGGGAAGCGTTCATCCAGCAGTGGATCGGGAAAGGAGAACATCTCCATTGACATCCTCCTCTCACCCCCCCTCACCCCCCCCCCTCCCCCAGGCGCGTGAGGGTGAGGGTGAGGCTGCCGCCGCGGACGAACCCCTGGGTGAGTGCGGGCGGTGGGGGCGGTGAGCGGGGTCTGTTGTGTGCGGTGTGGTTGTGTGTGGCAGTGTGGTGGTGTGCTGCGCGGTGTGCAGGCCCATGTGCAGTGCGAGTACGGTATCAATCTCTGTGGTGGCACTGGTGGCGCGGTGAGGCTTGCGGTGCGGTGCGTGTAGGGGTGTGCGTGTCGGCGTGTGGTATTGATATGTGCGCTGTGCGCTGGTCCGTGTAGGGGTGTGCGTGTAGGGGGTGTGGTATTGATATGTGCGCTGGTGTGTGTAGGGGTGTGCGTGTAGGGGGTGTGGTATTGACATGTGCGCTGGTGTGTGTAGGGGTGTGCGTGTCATGCGGGCTGCCCGTGAGTGGCGAGGGCTGCGTGGCGGAGCAGCGCCTGCACCACGTCCACTGCTTCACGTGCGCCGCCTGCGCCCGGCGCCTGCAGGGGCTGCCCTTCTACAGCACGCCCGGCGTGGGGCACCTGTGCGAGGCCTGCTACCTGGTCAGCCCCCGGCGGCCGGGGTCACAGCCGGGGTCACAGCCGGGGTCACAGCCGGGGTCGCAGTCGGGGTCGCAGTCGGGGTCGCAGTTGGGGTCGCAGTCGGGGTCACAGTCGGGATCAGTCGGGGTCACAGCCGGGGTCGCAGCCGGGGTCGCAGTCGGGGTCGCAGTCGGGGTCGCAGTCGGGGTCACAGTCGGGGTCGCAGTCGGGGTCACAGTCGGGATCAGTCGGGGTCACAGCCGGGGTCACAGTCGGGGTCGCAGTCGGGGTCGCAGTCGGGGTCACAGTCGGGGTCGCAGTTGGGGTCACAGTGGGGTCACAGCCAGGGTCACAGTCATGGTCACAGTCGGGGTCGCAGTCGGTGTCACAGCCGTGGTCACAGTCGGGGTCGCAGTTGGGGTCACAGTCGGGGTCACAGCCGGGATCACAGTCATGGTCACAGTCATGGTCACAGTCGGGGTTACAGCCGGGGTCACAGTCATGGTCACAGCCGGGGTCACAGTCATGGTCACAGTCGGGGTCACAGCCGGGGTCACAGTCGGGGTCACAGTCGGGGTCACAGTCATGGTCACAGTCGGGGTCACAGTCGGGGTCGCAGTCGGGGTCACAGTCGGGGTCACAGTCATGGTCACAGTCGGGGTCACACCCGGGGTCGCAGTCGGGGTCGCAGCCGGGGTCACAGTCGGGGTCACAGTCGGGGTCACAGTCGGGGTCACAGCCGGGGTCACAGTCGGGGTCACAGCCGGGGTCAGAGCCGGGATCACACATCAGGGCTGATGCTGCCTCTCTCCTGCTGATGTTGACACACCGCACTCCCCCTGCGTCTCCCTTGTCTCGCTGTGTGTCTCCCCCTTGCTTGTCCTGATGTCTCCCCTCGTGTTTCCCCTGCGCGTGTCCCCGCGCGCTCCCCCGTGTCCCCGTGCGCTCCCCCGTGTCCCCGCGCGCTCCCCCGTGTCCCCGTGCGCTCCCCCGTGTCCCCGTGCGACAGGAGACGCTGGAGCACTGCAGCGTGTGCGGCGAGGCCATCGTGAACCGCATCCTGCACGCCACGGGGCGCGCCTTCCACCCGGCGTGCTTCGCGTGCTCCGAGTGCGGCACGAGCCTGGACGGCGTTCCCTTCACCGTGTGCTCCGCCAACCGCGTGCACTGCCTCGAGGATTTCCACAGGCAAACCGCACAGTCGCCGCTGCGGCCGCCACCGTCGCACAACCGTGATCACCACGATCACCGCGATCACCGCAATCGCGCAACCACGATGACCGCAATCACACAACCACCATCACCAGGACCACCACGGTCACCGCAACCACGGACAACCACGATCACCGGGAACACCACCACCAAGATCACCACCACCACACACAACCACGATCACCGGGAACACCACCACCACGATCACCATCACCACCACCACCACCACGATCACCACCACCACCACGATCACCAGGTCCACCACCACCACGATCACCACCACCACGATCACCACCACAACCACGATCACCAGGTCCACCACCACCACGATCACCACCACTACAATCACCACCACCACCACCACGATCACGGTCACCACCACAACCACGATCACCAGGTCCACCACCACCACCACCACGACCACGGTCACCACAACCACACACAGCCACGATCGCCGCACGATCACACAACCGAGAAGCAGGAAGGCCTCGCTCGCATCATCATCATCAGCATCATCATCTTCAGCATCATCAGCATCATCATCATCAGCATCATCATCATCAGCATCATCATCATCAGCATCATCACCCCACGTGTTCACCCAGGAAGGCCTCGCTCGCATCATCATCAGCATCATCATCATCATCACCCCACGTGTTCACCCAGGAGTCTCAAGAGCCCCTTGGTTCGGGAGGGTCCTGCCAGGTTGTATCGGTAGGGGGCGATGCTGCCACTGTGTGATCCCTCTAGCCCAGGGGTCGGGAACCTTTTTGACTGGGAGAGCCATAAAAGCCAAATATTTCTAAATATATTTCATTGAGAGCCATATAGTATTTTTAACGTATAATAAATTTAATATGTCTTACTTTTAATGCGACTTCTGGTGCTGCATGGTTTTGCTGATGGCCTTTGTAGTCTGGTTCATACGTGGTGAGGTTGAGCTTCATGCAGGCGTGACCCGTGAAATTTATCTTCAAAACTAGTTTCTGTTTACTTTAAAATGACACAGTATTATTAAGCAATATCACAAGTATTTTAAAATCAGTCCAAACTGATTTTTTTTTCAACTCAAAATTGTCTGGGAGCCATATGCCGTCACTGGAAGAGCCATATATGGCTCGCGAGCCATAGGTTCCCGACCGCTGCCCTCGAGTTTACTTTGCAGGGGATGATGTCTCGGCGTTGGGGGACGTTTTTTTGGCCGATAGCCGTTCACACCGTGCGCTCAGCTCCGGGAAGAGGATTGAGACTCCAGAGGAAAGCCGTTGTGTGGGACAGGGGCAGAACGTGCAAGCTCCATTCACTCACTCCACCCCAGGCGGATAGCGACCCCTAGTGGATAGCGACCGCTTACGATGCGGTGCATGTGTGTGGTGTGGAGTGTATGGTGCGGTGTGGTGTGTACGGTGCGTGTGTGTGGTGTGGAGTGTATGATGCGGTGTGGTGTGTACGGTGCATGTGTGTGGTGTGGAGTGTATGGTGCGGTGTGGAGTGTACGGTGCGGTACATGTGTGTGGTGTGTACGGTGCATGTGTGTGGTGTGGAGTGTATGGTGCGGTGCATGTGTGTGGTGTGGAGTGTATGGTGCGGTGCGGTGTGTACGGAGCGGTGCTTGTGTGTGGTGCGTCTGTGTGGTGTGTAAGGCGCGGTGCGTGTGGCATTGTGCGCGTTGTTTACGGTGCATATGGTGCATGTGTGCGTGTGATGCGTGCGGTGCGTGTGGTGTGTGCGGTGTTCACGGTGCGTGCGGTGCGTGTGGTGTGTGTGGTGCATGTGTGCGTGCGGTGCGTGCAGTGCGTGTGGTGCGTGCGGTGCGTGTGGTGTGTGCGTGTGGTGCGTGTGGTGCGTGTGGTGGGTGCGGTGTGCACGGTGCGTGTGGTGCGTGTGGTGCGTGTGGTGCGTGTGGTGCGTGCGGTGTTCACGGTGCGTGTGGTGCGTGCGGTGCGTGTGGTGCGTGCGGTGCGTGTGGTGCGTGCGGTGCGTGCGGTGTGTGTGGTGCGTGCGGTGTGTGTGGTGCGTGCGGTGCGTGTGGTGCGTGCGGTGCGTGTGGTGCGTGTGGTGCGTGTGGTGCGTGTGGTGCGTGTGGTGCGTGTGGTGTGTGTGGTGTGTGTGGTGCGTGCGGTGCGTGTGGTGCGTGTGGTGCGTGTGGTGCGTGCGGTGCGTGTGGTGCGTGTGGTGCGAGTGGTGCGTGCGGTGTGTGTGGTGCGTGCGGTGCGTGTGGTGCGTGCGGTGCGTGTGGTGCGTGTGGTGCGTGCGGTGCGTGTGGTGCGTGCGGTGCGTGCGGTGTGTGTGGTGCGTGCGGTGTGTGTGGTGCGTGCGGTGTGTGTGGTGCGTGCGGTGCGTGCGGTGTGTGTGGTGCGTGCGGTGTGTGTGGTGCCTGCGGTGTGTGTGGTGCGTGCGGTGCGTGCGGTGCGTGTGGTGCGTGCGGTGCGTGCGGTGCGTGCGGTGCGTGCGGTGTTCACGGTGCGTGTGGTGCGTGCGGTGCGTGTGGTGCGTGCGGTGCGTGTGGTGCGTGCGGTGCGTGCGGTGTTCACGGTGTGTGTGGTGCGTGTGGTGCGTGTGGTGCGTGCGGTGTTCACGGTGCGTGTGGTGCGTGCGGTGTTCACGGTGCGTGTGGTGCGTGCGGTGTTCACGGTGCGTGCAGGAAGTTTGCCCCGCGCTGCTCGGTGTGCGGCGAGGCCATCGTGCCGGCGCCCGGCGAGAAGGAGACACTGCGCGTCGTGGCGCTCGACCGCAGCTTCCACGTCGCCTGCTACAAGTGCGAGGTGAGCGCGGGCAAAGGCCCCCCGCGTAGCCCGCGCGGCCTCACCAGGGCAAGTGCTGTTGGCGCGCCACTCTTCCCCCCCCCACCGCCGGTTCAGATTTTGGGTTGGTTGCCGCGAGCGGGAATCGAACTCGGGTCGCCGGGTTTGCCCGCTAACCGCTGCGCCACCGCTCCCCACCACCCAGATTTGTATTTATTTGTTTACCAGGTAAGTCCCCGCTGAGCTCTGTAGATATTTTTTCAGAAGTGACCTGGCCATGACAGATGATAGCTCCACGAGGTGGCTTATCGTCATCACGTGGAAATGTACAGCAGGCAAATACTCTGAACGTGTGACGTCGATTCTAAATGTAGGAGGGAAAAACCCAGAGGACCCGGAGAAAGAATCCACGCGTGGAGAGAGAGAGAGAGACGCAAACTCCAAATATACAGCAGCAGGCATCAGGGTTGGGATCGAACCCACGACCTCCTGTATACCAGGCGAGGGAGTTAACATCTCCTAGCCACTGCAATGCCTCCTGGGATTGCTCTTCTGCTGCTGCTGTGTGAACGGAGTGGAACAATGTGGACGTCCAAAACAATAAACACCTCCTCGTTCGAGAAACAAACATCAATCGCACCACCGCCTGGCTACGACATTCCTCCTCCTCCTCGAAGACACCGCTGGTGGAGTCACCCACCGCACCGCTGGTGGAGTCACCCACCGCATCGGGACGTCACCACGAGGCCCATGCCGCCCCTCGTCCATACAGGGGACAATTGAAGCCGCAGTGGCCGCGACCTGTGGACACACAACCCAAACTGTGGACCTCCCCTAGGTCGTCTCAGCATTAACATTGTATGTACCTGGTGCGGTGCGTAAACATCACCACGTGGGGCGATAAAGGCGGCCGGGCGTGGTGCTGGCCACCCACCCCCTCGTGTGCCGTGCCGGCCTTCATTAGGTGCTACTCGCTAACAGCACTTGCCCCAGCAGTCTGTTGACTCCACGTGTGTGCGTGTGTGTCTCCGTGTGTCCCCCCATGTGTGTCTCCCCGTGTGTGTCTCCGTGTGTCTCCCCGTGTGTGTCTCTGTGTGTCTCCGTGTGTGTCCCCGCGTGTCTCCGTGTGTCTCCCCGTGTGTGTCTCCGTGTCTCTGTGTCTCCGTGTGTCTCCCCGTGTGTGTCTCCGTGTGTGTCTCTGTGTGTCTCCGTGTGTGTCCCCGTGTGTGTCCCCGTGCGTGTCCCCCGTGTGTCTCCGTGCGTGTCCCCGTGACGCAGGACTGCGGGCTGGTGCTGTCCCCCTCGGAGGGCAAGGAGAGAGGCTGCTTCCCGCTGGACGGCCACATCCTCTGCTTCCAGTGCAGCGACTCGCGGCTGCAGGCCCGGCCCGGTCTGGCTGGCCCACAGCCTCTCTCATCATAAACACACTCACACACACACTCACATACATACATACACTCACATACACTCACTCACTCACATACACACACTCACATACACTCACACACATACACACACTCACACACACACAAGATATACATAGATGCACACACACTGGCCGATCCTATGGGGGGGAATTTGTTGGACCCACATTACATACACATACACACACGTGTACACACACCCACACACAGTAACACGTGTACACACACACACAGTAACACGTGTACACACACACAAAGTAACACCTGTAAACGCACAGTAACACCTGTACACACACACGCACAGTAACACGTGTACACATACATGCAGTGGTCCTATGCAATGTATCAGTCCCTGGATTGGTGTCTCCCCGTGTCTCCCCGTTATCTCCCAGTGTCTCCCCGTGTCTCCCCGTTATCTCCCAGTGTCTTCCCGTGTCTCCCCGTTATCTCCCAGTGTCTTCCCGTGTCTCCCCGTGTCTTCCCGTGTCTCCCCGTTATCTCCCAGTGTCTTCCCGTGTCTCCTTGTGTCTCTCAGTATCTCCCGCATGTCTTCCCGTGTCTCCCTGGATCTCCCCGTATATCCTCGTGTCTCACCCGTGTCTCCCCGTGTCTCCCTGTGTCTCCCTGCGTCTCCCCGCGTCTCCCCGCGTCTCCTTCGTACCCCCCCCCCCCCTATCCACTCACTATGCCAAAGACTGCACGCAAGCGCCTAACATCCTCTTGTTAACCCCGGGGGTCCGATGGGATGAGGGTCAGGTTGGATCGTGGCTCTGCAGGTCCCCTTTCTCCAGGGGGTCTGGGTCCTGACTGTGCACTTCGGGTGCTGGGCTGGGTTCGGGTCAGGACAACGGCCTCGAGTCAGGGGTCAGAGTGAGGGGTCAGAGTCTGTAGGGTGAGGGGTCAGAGTCTGTAGCGTCAGGGGTCAGAGTCTGTAGGGTCAGGGGTCAGAGTCTGTGGGGTCAGGGGTCAGAGTTTGTAGGGTCAGGGGTCAGAGTCTGTAGGGTCAGGGGTCAGCGTCTGTAGGGTCAGGGGTCAGAGTCTGTAGGGTCAGGGGTTAGAGTCTATAGGGCCAGGGGTCAGAGTCTGTAGAGTGAGGGGTCAGGGGTCAGAGTCTTTTTGGGGCAGGGGTCAGAGTCTAGGCTACACAGGGGGGACTTTTAGGGTGTTCAGGTGTCACGTGAACCTGCAGGGTCCAAGCAGCGAGCTCAGCGCGGGCCCCTGGCTGCAACGAGTCCAATGGGGGCCCATCCCTGTCCCATATTACACCCCCCCCCCCGCAAGCCTCTTCGTAAGCCTGGCACCTCACCCCCCCTCACCACCTCGCCCCCCCCTCACCACCTCCCCCCGTGGAGCCCCGGTGCGATTGCACCGACTGCGCACTCGGTAGCTGCTTCACCGCCCCCCCCTCCCTCGCTTGCTGCACCCGCGTGGGAGACCGCGCTAGTCCCCCACCCCCTGTATCGTGCTTTGATGCTCCAACGCTGCCAGTTTCTATACGAGTATAAGAAAGCGAGAGAGAAAGAAACCCCCAACAATATTGTTCTGAGAGTTGATTCTCCGGGACTCGCGGAGCCTGCGAGGGCAGACGCTCGATGCGGCGGGCGGCGACGGACATCGGCGGGTCCCTCGATGTTGAGGCGGGCGCCTGTCTGGTTGTGTCCATCCGACTGCCTTTTCCAGATATTGTCCCGATATCTGGACAAACAAATAATCCGGGGTATCCGTGGCTAGCGCTCGCGTCCGGGTATCAATCTGGTTACCACGAAGACAGATAACTGCTGGTCGTCCATATGGGGTACCTCTGGTTATCACTCATCCGGTTGTCCATTAATTTTCCTGCAACACAGACATCTGGTTGTCCATCTGGGGTACCTCTGGTTATCACTCATCCGGTTGTCCATCTGGTTTCCTGGATCACATCTGGTTGTCCATCTGGTTTCCTGGATATCACACATCTGGTCGTCCATCTCGGTACCTCTATCATGATACCTGTCGCGACGATTTGCGTTCGTTGTAGCTCTACGCGGGGGGCTGTCTCCATCATCTTCGTCTTCGTTGTTTGAAAAGGGCACCCCCAGTGTCAGCTGTCTCCGTGCGCCACGCGGCGACCTCGGCATCCGGCCCTGCGAGGCGGGCATTCGTCTGCTGCCAGGACGGGGTGGCGGGGGGGGGGGCACGGTGACCGATACGCATTGTACCCAAATTTAAAATTCCACTACAGTTGGTATCTGTCCGACGAGCTGATAACTCCTTTCACATTCAGTTAGCTCTCTGACGGGTTGCTTTGTAGATGTCCACTCCCATCTGGTTAGACATCTGGTTGGTTGGTACGTGGATGTCCAGTCCATCTGAGCATTTGGGATCAGGGCGTTCAATCTGTCTGGTCGCCTCGCCGGATAATTGGCATTTGACTTCTCATCTGGGGGATAAGCCACGTGGCGAGCATCCACCTGGGTGTCCCACCTGGGCACGGGTCATTCTGGAAATACTCGTGGGGCGCTATCGCCTATCGCAAGGGTGGGGGGGGGGTGAGGGCCCACCAGCTTCCCCACAGCAGAACGAACCACAGACGGATCTCTCCGTCAGCACGAGGTCGACCATCGGTAACCGTGCAGTCTCCTGCGGTAAGAGTTCAACACCAAGACCAGCGGTGCCGACCAAATTCTCCCGCCCCCCAAACACAGACGCCAGCTCTCCGGACAGGTGGCAGACCCTAGGTGAGGACCAACATCCCACCCCTGGCCCGCGATGACTCCTCGGGTCGTCGTCTTCCTTACCACGGAGTGGCCTCGCACAGGACTCGATCCGTACCGCCCCCTCCCCCCACCCACCTCTGGCGGGTTTGTCCGGATGCGCCGTTGAGTTTTGTGTTCTCGCTGTGCGGTGTCGAGTCACGCGAGTTTCTGCAGGACCGGGAGTCCAGCGCGGACCAAATAAAGATTCGCCTTTTGTACTCAGCTCCCGTGCCCGGACCCTTCGCTGTATCACGGTGGCGGTGGTGGTGGTGGTGAATGTGGTGATGGTGGTGAAGGTGGTGATGGTGGTGGTGATGGTGGTGATGGTGGTGATGGTGGTGGTGATGATGGTGGTGGTGGTGGTGGTGATGGTGGTGATGGTGGTGATGGTGGTGATGGTGATGGTGGTGATGGTGGTGGTGGTGATGGTGGTGATGGTATCCGTAATAGGGGAGCGGTAGTGTAGGAGCGGTCAGCCGGCTGCGCTACGAACCCGGCGACCCGAGTTCGATTCCCGGCCAACCACAGTGACGATTTTCTGTACCGGTCCTGGGCCTCCTCTAGGTCGACTCAGACTTAAATGAGTACCTGGTGCGGTGCGTAAAGTAATCGCCACTGGGGAGACAAAGGCGGCTGGGCGTGGTGCTGGCCACCCACCCCCTCGTGTGCCGTTTTGGCCTTGGTAGGTGCTACTCGCTAACAGCACTTGCCCCAACAGTCTGTTGAGGCTATACGGGGGGTACTTTGTGTTTGGTATCCACAATAGAGGTTTTTGGGTTAGATCGCGTAAATATCTAAATGTGTCGTTCAACCCGCCACCACCCGACACAGCCAATTAGTAAGGCTTGTCACGTAAACAGAACGTGCTAATTCGTTACTAATACAGCACTAACCGGTGTATTGGAGAGCCAAGCCACAACATTTACAATCTGAGTACGACGTTTCACCAATAATTACACCTAGCTTCATCAGGCGACAGCCAGATTTGAATTGTTAACGTTGTGGGTGTTCTCTCCAACACACAACCGGCTAGTGCTGTACGAGTCACGAATTGGCCACGTTCTGTTTACGTGACAAACCTTACTGATTGTCTGTGTCGGGTGGTGGCGGGTTGAACGACACATTTAGATATTTACGCGATCTAACCCAAAAAAACCCTTCTATTATGGATAATATTGGTCTCAAAGGCCTACTAGCAGAGGTCACAACCGGGTACCCGATACCCGTACCCTACCCGATACCCGGCTACCCGTACCCGGCCGGGTATCCGTTTGCGACCCTGGTCCGGCCGGGTACGGGTACGGGTAGGCCGTGAGTCACCGGTGAGTCACGGTTTGTCACTCATTTCGGGTAGGGTACGGGCAGCGTATAGGTACCCGTACCCGGCCGGGTACGGGTACGGGTACGGGTACCCGTTTGCGACCCTGAGTCACCGGTGAGTCACCGTTTGTCACTCATTTCGGGTAGGGTACGGGTAGCGTACAGGTACCCGTACCCGGCCGGGTACGGGTACCCGTTTGCAACCCTGGTGCGGCCGGGTACAGGTACGGGTAAGGAATCAAAACCCGTTTGCGACCTCTGCCTACTAGGTGTTAGGTGGTGGCGGTAGTGGTGGTGGTGGTAGTGGTGGTGGTAGCGGTGGTGGTGGTAGTGGTGGTGGTGATAGTGGGCACGATATGGGCTGCTCGCCACCCCTCTCACTGACCAAGCCCCGGGCGTGTTTCCCAGGGAGCACTGCGAGGGTCACCAAGACAGGTGGCCACCGTCGTGGGTGAGTAATTGAGCGACTCGAAAAAAATGAACGAGTGAATGATGAAAATGAGGAGTGGGTGGATGAAACGGGTGAGCGATTTAAGTGAGTGAGTTCGTGGGTGACTTACCGAGCGACTTGGAGAATGAATGAGCGAGTGGGTTAGTGGGTGAGCGGGTTAGTGGGTGAGTGGAGATGGTTAGTGAGCTGGTGAGCGTGTGAGTGAGTGATTGAGAGTCACCGCCCTTTCCACCAGACCAAACCCAGACAGATTTCTCGGTCGGCCAAGGTCTATCAACATTTCACAGTTTATTGCAATAAGTTTCAACACAATGCCAGCATCCGGTCTCTACACGCGTCAATTACTGCCACCCAAACGGCGGCGAGATGTTAACTATCTCGCCTGGTCTACAGGAGGTCGTGGGTTCGATCCCGAACCTGACGCCTGCTGCTGTATATTTGCAGTTTGCGTGTCTCTCTCTCATCATCATCACGGTGGCTAGGAGATGTTAACTACCTCGCCTGGTGTACAGGAGGTCGTGGGTTTGATCCCAACCCTGACGCCTGCTGCTGCTGTATATTTGGAGTTTGCGGTGTCTCTCTCTCCGTGGTCGCGTGGATTTGTCTCCCGGGTCTTCCGATTTTACCCTCCACATTTAGAATCAACATCAATCGTTTAGAGTAGTTGCCTGCCATACACGATGATAATAAGGCACTTTATTGGACTATCATTTGTGGCCAGGTCGCTTCTGAAAAAGAGCTATGTAGATGAGTGGGCCTTACCTGGTAAAATAAAATTTGTTTAGTTTTAGTTCAGAGTTTAACTTTTTTTTTCATTTTACCAAGGCCCATTGAGCTGCGTAGCGAACTGGCCACAAATGACAGCTCAACGAGGTGAATATCATCACGTGGGACTATCCTGCAGCCAAATCCTCTACACGCGTGTTGATTTGAAATGTGGAGGGAAAAACCAGAGGGTTCGGAGAAAAATCCACGCGACCATGGGGCGAATATTCAAACTCCAAATATATAGGAGGCATCACTATGAGACCTCCTTTACCAGTGGCAAAATATAGTAATAGGTTTTTACCCTTTCAACTGGTACAACAACTGACGCCTTTATACAAGGCATCATGTTTGCAGTAACCACAACACAAGCAGTCAAAATGCAAACAAAAATAAACAACTCTGATGATGATAATGATATGCACTCAATACTCTGATAGTGCGCTGTCTTTGAGTTGTACTCCTTTTGGCGTCACTGGTCCAACACCAATGGAGACTAGGCTCTAAGAAAAGCTGTCTCGGGTGTGGACCAATCAACTTCAAGGACAGTGCATATCATTATCATTATCAGAGTTGTTTATTTTTGTTTGCATTTTGACTGCCTGTGTTGTGGTTATTGCAAACATGATGCCTTGTATAAAGGTGTCAGTTTTTTGTACCAGTTGAAAGGGTAAAAACCTATTACTATAGGAGGCATCGTCAGGGTCGGGAACGGACCAACGACCTCCTGCATCCCAGGCGAGGTAGTTGACATCTCGCCACCGCAGCGCCAGAGTGCACACAATGTCCATTGGGTGCACTCTGTAAAAGCGCCCCGGGTGTACATCCATTGGGTACACTGTGTAAAAGCGCCCCGTGTGGACACCCATTGGGTGCACTCTGTAAAAGCGCCCCGTGTGGACACCCATTGGGTGCACTCTGTAAAAGCGTCCGTGTGGACATCCATTGGGTGCACTCTGTAAAAGCGCCCTGTGTGGACACCCATTGGGTGCACTCTGTAAAAGCGCCCCGTGTAGACACCCATTGGGTGCACTCTGTAAAAGCGTCCGTGTGGACATCCATTGGGTGCACTCTGTAAAAGCGCCCCGTGTAGACACCCATTGGGTGCACTCTGTAAAAGCGCCCCGTGTGTACGCCCATTGGGTGCACTCTGTAAAAGCGCCCCGTGAGTGGACACCCATTGGGTGCACTCTGTAAAAGCGTCCGTGTGGACATCCATTGGGTGCACTCTGTAAAAGCGCCCTGTGTGGACACCCATTGGGTGCACTCTGTAAAAGCGCCCCGTGAGTGGACACCCATTGGGTGCACTCTGTAAAAGCGTCCGTGTGGACATCCATTGGGTGCACTCTGTAAAAGCGCCCCGTGTGTATGTCTATTGGGTGCACTCTGTAAAAGCGCCTCGTGGAGACACCCATTGGGTGCACTCTGTAAAAGCGCCTCGTGTGTATGTCTATTGGGTGCACTCTGTAAAAGCGCCTCGTGGAGACACCCATTGGGTGCACTCTGTAAAAGCGCCCCGTGTGTACGCCCATTGGGTACACTCTGTAAAAGCGCCTCGTGTAGACACCCATTGGGTGCACTCTGTAAAAGCGCCCGTGTAGACGCCTATTGGGCGCACTCTGTAAAAGCGCCCCGTGTGTACGCCTATTGGGCGCACTGTGTCACCGCGTCCTCCCGTAGGGGAGAGAGGAGATCCCCGTCGTCACCTGCACACCTCACGCTGCTCTCGTCTCGCGGCCGCGATGTCGGGGTCCGGACCCCCTCAGCTGCGAACCCCCGAACTGGACATCGACCTGGGCAGCGACTCGGAGCTGACGGGGCCCCCTTGCCGGGGTCTCCTGGAGGCGGAGGAGCCCCCGTTCCACGCCAGCTCGCTGCGGCTCGCCATCACCGATCCCGAAGGGGAGCCCGAGCGGTCCCCGTGGCGTGGGGGCGTTGGGGTCCTGGGGGTCCCGTGCGGCCCGCGGGGGACCGTGGTCTCCACGGTGACGAGGCTTCGCGTCGAGACCATCACCCCGGGGCCGAGGACCGCTGCCAAGGAGGCGAAAGTGAAACATTTCTTCGTGTTCAGGGTGAGTCTCCCCCGCTCCCCACTCCCTTTCTGCCCGCGGGGACCCAGCGGGACCCAGCGGGGGAAGGGGGACGAGAGGGAACGAGAGTGAGGGGTGGGGGGTGGGGTGGGGGGCACCACCTTCATAGGCCGCGATTCCGACCGCGGCCTCGCCTAGATGCATTGCCCGGCGAGGAGAGGGGAGGACTCGAGGGAAGGGAGGGGGGGACCCTGGGAGGGGAAGGGGGACCCTGGGAGGGGGGGGCCCTGGGAGGGGGGGACTCTGGGAGGGGGGGGGGACCCTGGTAGGGGGGGCCCTGGGAGGGGGGGACTCTGGGAGAGGGGGGGGACTCTGGGAGGGGGGGGGGACCTGGGAGGGGGGGACCCTGGGAGGGGGGGTACCCTGGGAGGGGGGGTACCCTGGGAGGAGGGGGGGCCCTGGGAGGGGACCCTGGGGGGGGGCCTGGGAGGGGGGGGGACCCTGAGAGGAGACCCTGGGAGGGGGGGGGGGCAGCCTGGTTCAGGTCTCCTTTGCGCAGTGAGCCCCATAAATGGGGGAGATGTTCTACGTCACCACCTCCATCATCAGCCATGGTCACTCCCCTGCTGGATGAAGGCCTCCCCCCACCAGTCCACCGCCAGCTCTCACGAGCCCGCGATGTGTGCACGATCCACGCAGCACCTGCACACGAGCTGATGTCACCATCGCGACATCTCCCCGTGGTCAACATGCAGTACTGCACGGGCTGCATGTGCGGGGTGTGGCAGGCATGGTGCGGTGGACATGGAGTGGTGAGATTTGGTGCTGCATTGGTGTGATGGGAATGGGGCGGTGGGATTGGTGCGGTGGGTATGGTGTGGTGAGATTTGGTTCGGCATTAGTGTGATGGGAATGGTGTGGTGGAAATTGGTGTGAAAACGGTGTGGCGGTGTTTGGTGTGGCGATATTTGGTATGGCGGCATGATGTTGTGGTGATGGTGTGGTGTGTGGGGTGTTTGGTGAGGTCCCATCTGTGTTTTGTGATGCGGTGGGTGATGTGTGTGTGTGGTGTGATTATGGGGAGCGGTGGTGCAATGGCTAGCGCACTGCGCTACGAACCAGGTGACCCGAGTTCGATTCCCACACACGGCCGACACTTTTGACGATTATCTGAACCGGTCATGGGCCTCCCCTTGGTAGACTCAGCCTCAAATGAGTGTGTAAACATCGCCACTGGGGAGGCAAAGGTGGTCGGGCGTGGTGCTGGCAACCCACCCCAATAAGAGGTGTTCACTAACAGCTATATTGTGGGTGTTTGGTGTCGTATGCTGCCGTGTGACGGTGTGTGTGTGCAGTGTGTGGTGTGTGCAGTGTGTGTGTGTGAATTGTGTGTGCAGTGTGTGTGTGCAGTGTGTGTGGTGTGTGCAGTGTGTGTGTGTGCAGTGTGTGTGAATTGGATGTGCAGTGTGTGTGTGTGAATTGTGTGTGCAGTGTGTGGTGTGTGCAGTGTGTGGTGTGTGCAGTGTGTGTGTGTGATAAGTGTGTTCAGTGTGTGTGTGCAGTGTGTGTGGTGTGTGCAGTGTGTGTGTGTGAAGTGTGTGTGAATTGTGTGTGAAGTGTGTGTGTGCAGTGTGTGTGTGTGTGAAGTGTGTGTGTGTGTGAAGTGTGTGTGAATTGTGTGTGCAGTGTGTGTGTGTGAAGTGTGTGTGAATTGTGTGTGCAGTGTGTGTGAATTGTGTGTGTAGTGTGTGTGTGTGTGAAGTGTGTGTGAAGTGTCTGTGAATTGTGTGTGAAGTGTTTGGGTGCAGTGTGTGTGTGTGTAGTGTGTGTGTGCAGTGTGTGTGTGTGGGTGCAGTGTGTGTGTGTGGGTGCAGTGTGTGTGTGTGGGTGCAGTGTGTGTGTGTGGGTGCAGTGTGTGCAGTGTGTGTGTGTGGGTGTAGTGTGTGTGTGCAGTGTGTGTGTGTGGGTGTAGTGTGTGTGTGCAGTGTGTGTGTGTGGGTGTAGTGTGTGTGTGCAGTGTGTGTGTGTGGGTGCAGTGCGTGTGTGTGTGTGGGTGTAGTGTGTGTGTGCAGTGTGTGTGTGTGGGTTCAGTGTGTGTGTGTGCAGTGTGTGTGTGCAGTGTGTGTGTGTGTGTGCAGTGTGTAGGTGCAGTGTGTGTGTGTGGGTGCAGTGTGTGTGTGTGCAGTGTATGTGTGTGGGTGCAGTGTGTGTGCAGTGTGTGTGTGTGGGTGCAGTGTGTGTGCAGTGTGTGCAGTGTGTGTTGTGGGTGCAGTGTGTGTGTGTGCTGTGTGTGTGTGTGTGCAGTGTGCAGTGTGTGTGCGTGCAGTGTGTGTGCAGTGTGTGTGTTGGCACAGTGGCGAGCACAGGTGGTGCATCTGCCAGTCATCTCGGTTGACCCTCCTGCCAGCAGCGAGCCTTTCACACTTGAATCCCATCACCTCAAAGGGGCAGTCCATAAATGACGTCACGCGACATTGGACGATTTTTGACCCCCCCTCCCTTCGTCACACGGCGTCACAAAAAGTTAGACCCCCCCTCAAATATGACGTCCCAAAGCTCTGCCCCCCCCCATCCCCCCCAAAAAAACATGCTTTAAACTATTGTCATTGTAGTGCGTATTTAATGTGCCGTTGCACTCTGATGTTGTTGGAGAAAACATTTATTAAAAAGTATACTTAATTAAGTAGAACGTGTTGTCTATATTTATTTAAAGTTGCGCATTTTGATGTGACGTCACATTTCCCAAACCCCCCCCCCCCTCGTCACATCGTCACAAATGTCTGACCCCCCCCCCCCCAGGTGCGTGACGTCATTTATGGACGGCCTCAAAGTGCACCTAGCCTGGCACAAACTGCATGCTAACGTCATCGTCACTTAGTGGTGGTGATTGGGGGCTGTAGTTGTTGTGTGTGTGATGGCGTGGTGCTGGCCACCCATGCCTTTGTGTGCCGTGCCGGCCTGCATAGATGCTACTCGCTAACAGCACTTGCCCCAACAGTCCGTGGGATCTTTGTCTTTGTGTGATGGGGTGAGTGTGTATGGGGCCGTCCATAAATGACGTCACGCACCTGGGGTGGACAGAACCACGCCATCACACACACAATAACAACAACAACAGCCGCCAATCACCGCCACTAAGTGGCGATGACGTTAGCATGCAGTTTGTGCCAGGCTAGGTGCACTTTGGGGCCGTTCATAAATGACGTCACGCACCTGGGGGGGGGGGGTCAGACATTTGTGACGATGTGTGACGAGGGGGGGGGGGGGTTTGAGAAATGTGACGTCACATCAAAATGCGCAACTTTAAATAAATATAGACAACACGTTCTACTTAATTAAATAGACTTTTTAAAGAAATGTTTTCTCCTACAACATCAGAGTGCAACGCCACATTAAATACGCACTACAAAGACAATAGTTTAAAGCGATTTGAAGCATGTTTTATTTTCAAAATGGAAATATGTTTTTTGGGGGGGGGGGGCAGAGCTTTGTGACGTCATATTTGAGAGGGGGGGGGTCTGACTTTTTGTGACGCCGTGTGACGAGGGGGGGGGTCAAAAATCGTCCAAAATCGCGTGACGTCATTTATGGACGCCCCCTATGCGTCTTTGCGTTATTCCCCCTCACGGCCAAACACCAGGTGAGGCTCGTCTGAACTGGTCCTGGGCCTCCCCTAGGTCGACTCAGCCTCGAAAAAGTATCGTTTCGCGGGAAACCTCTCTGCATACCAATTTAACTATCGCGGGGGGTTAGTTTTGGCGTTTCGCAGGGATGCTGTAGCCGGAAGCACTGTATCATTGTTTGTTATGGCTGGTACCATGGGGGGAAGGGGGGGTATACGAGGCAGTCGGTGGCACTTAAACGTCCACCCTACAGGCTGGTCAACGAGGGAGACTCAAGTAAATCATACAAAACGGTGAATTATCTTCTCCAGGAAGAAAAAAAACACAATCCTTCACTGCATCTACATCGGCGGTTTAGTGTGAGAAATGTGTTTCTCATGAAAAAGTACAAAAAGGCGTACCATCAATCACAACCCCAACCGTGTCATCTTGTGCTTTCCGACCTTTATCTAACCCCCTCCCTGCCTGCACCTTCCACCGTTAGTTTCTGAAAACGACATTGGTGACATTATTCAAAAACAAAAACCCACTGTCAGCATCGAGCCATCTCCTTTTTCATGGCTCACACCATGTTCGGCTGTTTTAATTCCACTGTTTCCAAAATTATTCATGAATCTCGACGCTCTTTCGTCTTCCCATCGGCACTCAAGGTAGCGGCCATCGCCCCGGTTCGCACAAATGCGTCCCTTGATCCAGTTTCAGTTTTCAGTTTCAGTTTAATTTATTAGGATTTAACCTGTGAGCCATTCGGCTCTTGATCCTGATATGCATGCAAACTATCGCCCGGTTTCAAATCTTCCTTTCTTATCGAAGGCGACCGAACGTGTTGTATGCAATCGTTTAATTAATGATCTTCCGCATAACTCTATGATCAAGTTTAGTCAGGTTCTGGGAAAAATCACTCAACTGAAATTCTTTTACTTCTTGTTTCTATCTTCTTGGTTCTTTCGGTAAAGTCACTTAGAAGGGAGATAATAAAATAATAAAAAGAAAACATAATAAAAAAATCTACGTTTTTGGGTTTAGATCGCGTTATTTATAAATGTGTCGTAACCCTCCACCACCCGACACGGCCAATCAGTAAAAAAGTGTCACGTTGACAAAAAACAAATAGTTCACTGCTTTAGCCCACCGGTGTGTTGAAGCGTGAAACCACAACATTTACAATTTGAGTAGTACGACGTTTCGCTGGTAATTGCATCCAGCATCATCGGGCAATTCGCCAGAATGGTGAGGCTCTGCTGTCTCCCGTTCTTATATAGAGCAGCAGCAGAGTGACGTCATCATTAACTCATCAGGTGCAAAGATTCAAGGGGGGAGTGATTGTAATTATATACTAGATTAGTAATAAGGCTATTGTTACATTGGTCGCGAAAGCCTACGTGTCAAACTGATAATAAAATAATACAATTCTCACGA